GCCTAGTTGTCCAGTGCTTCTTGAGTTTCAATTTCGTCTTGGCGACCAGCAAGTGATGATCTGATGCTATATCAGCTTCTCTCTTGGTTCTCACGTCTTCCATCGTCCTCCTGAACTTTTTGTTGATGCAGATATGGTCGATTTGGTTTTGTGTAGAGTGATCCGGTGAAGTCCATGTGGTTTTGTGTATGCGTTTATGTGGGAATATGGTACTGCCTATGACCAGTTTATTGAAGGCACATAGGTTTGCAAACCTCTCACCATTTTCGTTGCTTTCTCCCAGTCCGTGTCGTCCCATGATGTTGTAGCGTGGTATCGAGTCAAGACCTACTATGAACACCGCTACCATGAAACACGTGCCAAGTAAATCAGAAGGCGAAGGTTGAACGTAACCAAATAAATCCATAAAATCCCCGAAAAGCCAAATATCAGAAGGCAGTTAATGGACCAAGTCGAGATATATTTGCTGGCGATCTCGTGGTATCGAAAGGATACCGACATCCTGCCAGGATACAAGTTTTGTTACAGAACGTGACCGAATTCGCGCGAAGTCACAATCAAAGTGTAAGAAAAAGAATGGAAGCACAATATAGCTGTCATTAGCACAGTCAAACAAAAGCACATTAAAACAAACACTGGTACAGTCGGTTATAATAATAATTGTTTTCAATAAACCAGTCGCGTTCTCGTGATAAATATGAAACACTACAATGTCTTCATATCTAGTGTTGTCCGTTCCAACCTTGACATTTAAATCTCCCATCAGAATGGTCAGGTCCTTTGTTGGGCACTTCTCGATGATTGACTGCAGCCTATTGTAGAATTGATCTTTAGCGTCTTCATTGTGGTCGTTGGTAGGCGCATAGCATTGGATGACGTTCATTGTAATGCCCTCTTTCTTTGTTTTGAATGAGGCTTTGATGATCCTGGTCCATGAGATTCCCATTATATACGTGCATTTTGTGCTTGTTTGGACAGCATCAATGCGACTCCTTGTGTATTTGGGGCATTTTCTTCTTCATGGCCGGAGTATAACAGGAGCTCTCCTGAAGTTAGTCGTTGTTGTCCAACTTGCGTCCAATGTGTTTCACTGATCCCAAGCACCTCTAGACTGCATCTTCTCATTTCTGCAGCAATTTGTAAAGCTCTCCCGGTGTCCCACATTGTACGAACCTTCCATGTACCTAAATAAATGGTTGCTCTGGTTGTCAGAAGGGGCATCGGCCTCGTAACTTCCTAAGGAACTCGGTTTTCATTATGAGGCGTCATAGTTCTTCTAAATGAAGACCTTCTGATTCCCAGGGCAGAGTTTAAAAGGTTTGAATAACTTTTTCTGGTTAGCGTTTTTTTAGCGAGTTAGTTTCCTGCGAGACGGGGACGCTAACCCCATGGCCAACCATCCTCCTTGGGACCGACAGTAGCCTCCGGAGGGACTCCAGGCGGAGGTGATCGGTTGGCTGCTGGGATAAATATTCCGAATTTAGAAAGAGAATTAATTCTTTTGATGGAGTTTTGTTCTCTGAGTTGGATGGTTTGACCTGAGTCAGGTTGATCAGCAACCAACAAGCATATTGAAATCAATCTAATTTACCAACCAATCAGGAAAATCTTGCACAAATATAGGAACAAAAATCAAACCAATGGGAGACAACCAAAACAAAGAAGTAAACAATGACAAATTTAAGGTCAATAAGAACCAATCAACGTCGAGGTGTACAGAACAAGCTGTGAAACACATATGGAGAAATTCGAACACTTCACTTCTATCTGAAGTTTGTGCTGATGATGTCGTTCAGAAGAAAGATGAAAGCACCACGACCAAACCATCCAGCTCAGAGAACAAAACTCCATCAAAACCATCCATTTGAGCTGCAAATCTTCTCCACCATCTCTAGAGAATTATTTGAGAAACCAAAAGTTCATTCCAAGAAATTGAAACAGCATGCATTAACTATGATGCAGCAAGTGGGCTTGATTTCCAGTCAGTGACATTTTCCACCACTTTGCTTAGTCGTCTTGACACATCCAGTTTGTTTGCAAACGTACTATTTATGTCGCCGCAAGTAATAGCAAACTTTTCAATTCCGATTCCATTAATTTTAGTGACTTTAATTACTTTATTTATTTAAACAAATAAACATCGGTACGAGTAGGCACCATATATATGCTCCACACTTCGTCATTTGATTTGTGTGAGGGCAGGAATATTCCCTGGGTGCCCAAACTGGAGCAGGTGGTTTCCTCAGGGGGCCACACCCCAAGTATTTGACCTAAAGGTTTAGTCCACTAAGTCGTGGAGCAAATTTAGGAGGAGCAATCCCATGATAGCCAATGACCAACAATAGGTTTATACGCCATTTATTCTCTCGGGATCCTGGAGCGCAAGTGCCCCATTCGTTTGGTATCAGGGTTTTTCAACTCACCTAGTTGAGTCCTGCTTGTCCACCGACCCCGTTCGGGCTCCGGACATTCAATTTTCGTCCCCTCAATTTCGTGAACTACACACCAACGAGAGAAGGCAGTGGCTCTATACGCGTGGCATTGTGGGAGCATTTCATGAAGGGCAGCGGACTCCCCCCAACTTCGACAGCACCAAGGCATTCACACTAAAGATGACACAGGTATTTGAAGTTTGACAACGCTTTAACCAGTAACACCATCTATTATTAATCTTACCCACGTTGTGAAATCAAAAGTCGGAAGCGAAGAGGTTCGAAGATATATTTGATATGCTATCAATGTATCGAGAATCGACTGATCTAGACTGGCTAGCAATTGCAGGAGATGTTAGGCACGGCGTTCCCACTCGTGATCTGATGCGGATGCATGACCGAGAGCCTTCAGCTAGGTGAGTCCATTAAGACTAATGTGGTCAGTATCCAATGCCGAAGACTTACAGAGCTATTGATTTTAGGGATTTATTTACTGCTACAATACCATCAAGTGACTTGTATCATATTAAAAAACGACTGTATCTGTCCAACGGTGTTTTCCACAACTTTATTGTTGACATTGGTAGCATCAAATCTAATAATTCAGTTAGAATGTTGACAACTTACTAGCCACGGAACTGAAGTGTGGATAAATACGCACGACTCCAAAGTCCCTTCATTCTCATGTGCAAGCAAGAAATTTCAAATTTTTGGAAACATACGTTAATTTCATTGCTGCTGCAATATTCGAAGATCCGGAGAGTAGAGTAGATAAAGTCGTTTAGTGGGGAATTGCCAGATTGTACGCAAAAGGAACGATGATGTAACTGCCTGAGCAGAAATGTCCTCATCCAGGAACTGGTTTTCCACAACACATAGGTCTGCTAAAACAGGCCAATAAACCCGTGTTTCATATACGAGCCAGTCAAAACAACCGAATACGTTTTAAGGAATCAGGTGCGTCTGTTCCAATTTTAGTTGTTAATTCTAATACTAATGAGTACATTCTAAATCACATGGAGTCTATACCCAATACACAGCCGGACAGGCACATGATGGGGTTAAGGAAAAGTATAATCGATTACAGATATTTGGATGCCTATTCAAGATGTGGTATCTGTACGACCTAATGATTCCTTTGTACTTGATTGCCCACCGGTTACGAATTCCAAATATAATAGATTCACTTTTGATCATCAGGATCTACTTGCTTTAAATTGTACTATTTCGAGAATTTTCAGTTAGTACATTAATTCGAATACTTCTAATTATCATAAGTACACCAAGTGAGTCTTGTGCAGTCAATCATATAGAAAAACTACCTAATCATAAGATGTTCATCATATCTTTTTTTCTCCTTTAGTTTATCTTCTCAAGTAATGATCTTAGTAGCTATTCAGAACCTCGCCAAGTAAATTTCCGCTTTGAATAGATGTCGAGTTGAAATCCATTGACTTAAATGTGTCGGATTATGGTATATGGTTATATTTCGATTTCCGTAAGAATTTTCGTTAACTAAATAGTCGGGGAGACGTGGTTCACTATGCTCATCTTCCTTTCCAGAAGTGAATTTGATGTGATCTGAGAATGTGTTCATTAGTTAGGAGAAATTTCTGGCGAGAATCTACATATTTGAGTTTGATCTAATGGTACCGGCATAAGTAAGCGACTTCATACGAGATATAAATAGACTAACCATAAACGGAGATCCCATGGTCTTTCCGTTTGTTTCATCAGGAAAATTCCCTTTGATGGTGGAACGCGTTGAACTCAAGCATAATTTGATTGCTTTCATGATTAAACTAATGCTTAGTTAACATCTGCTAGATAAAGTGTTATGATGCATGTGTCTCTTTGTCCAGAAATATCTTGTATATCGGTTGTAGGATTGGAGTGATCTTTGTAGTGCTGAGAGGTTTTCTAAGTAAAATTAGGTTTAATTTTTCTTTTAACAGAATGATTTGGTATGTACTAAGAGTTCTGTGTGAAGGATCATGAACCATCCTTAGGACATTAGAAATAGTTTTTGTTGGTGATGTTTTCTGTTTTTATGCTCTCTTTGAGATTTTCTAATTTCTTGATTTGTCTACGCTTGGAATCGGTTATATTTGGTAGACTTCATTTAAACCCTAAATACATTATTTCACATCTCTTTTTGTATTTGAACTAACGTGATGCAGTGTTAGATTTTTATGTCGTTTTAACAAGTTCACTTAATTTTAAGTTTTCCAGGTTGTAAATTAACACTATCCCTAACATTTCCTTATTGTCGTTAAATAAAGTTTATTAAAATTTTCCATTTAAAAATAGCTGTCACACATCATAATGGATTAAAATCCAAAACAAGAAGTCGACAGAATTCTATTTCGATAAAATGAAAGTTTAAACTTTTCTTTTTATCCACCAAATGAATAAAAATACTCGATTAGTACAATGCGTTTTATGCTCAATTGGTGAGTGATTCAGGATCTAGGTTATGTGTATTCTGAATGAACTAAAAATTGTACCTTAGTTCGTACTGAACATTGCGATCTAGGTTATTATTAAGCGACAAGTCAATGAACAAATGGGCAACAAAGGTAATATAATTGTAATTTATCTGAATACTTTACAAGCTATTGTTATAGCGTCAAGTTAATTTTTGAAAAAAACAGCCGGAAATTAAGGCAGAAAATCAGGGCTTAAACGAAGTAATGTATTCAGCAAATGTTTATTTCATGATTTGTTAGCCGTTATCAGTTGATTGTAGCACCACAAGGTAGATTAAATAATAATTATTGATACCATATATTCATTATTAATAATTAATGCATGAAAATTTACTTATCAAATTCAATACCAAAACCTAATTATGAAATGATTGTCCTGCAGAGCTGTTATTAAGTATATCATATTTAAAGTGTAATAGTATAAAGGATTCTTTAACGATGATAGTCATTACTCTGAAATCAAATGGTATTTGTTTAATTGGTTCTTATCTTTTTGTTTTTCCTCTTCGATGAATTGACTAACTCCAGTTTGCGAAACATATACACTAATAAATCAATTTATAGTAAAAAAAACTTAACATTCCGTCCAATTACCATTTGAATATGAAAAAAAATCCATTATAAATTCAACTGCTTAATAATAAACAATGAGTCATCATATGTATAAGCCATATGTACCAGTAGATTGCTCATTTCTTTTTTAGAAAGTAAGCAGATTATTTAGTGCAGGGAAGCAAAGAAAAAGAAATCGATTAAAATTGATTATATTTTACACATTAAAGTATTCACTAATGTGCTAATTTATTGTTTTGAATGAAAATAAACATTTCGAAAGTGATTTAACAAAATCATCAATGCTTAGCTTAGTTAGTAGTGACATAATGAATATAAAACGAAACAACGAACAAATAATTGAGTAGATGCATAATTTTTAAAGGAATAAAGCTGGATTATATTTAAAAACCATCATCTGTTTCAATTGCCCCACGCTCTAATTCACATGGCCTATGAAATTCTTGACCGCGTTCATGAAACCATAGATTCATTACCCATTTCGAGCCAGCTAAAACTGGGCAAGCAGCGTGTCTAGTTCGTAGGTCACCTTCTCCACTAGGCAAAAGATTAAACCAGAAACCAGCAGCTCCTTTTTTAGGGACTACACGTGTACCGATACGGTTAAATACAGTGGCTCCTCCTGCTTGTACATCAGATAACTAGAAGTATAAAAAGAGCTGACGTTTAAATCATCAACATTCAGAATTTCATGTTGAGTATGTAACATAAGCCTTGATCAATTATTTAGAAATCGTGAAATTTTTAAATGGAAAAGAAAGAAACTAGGAAGAATTTTCACGTAATTATAAACTGATCGAAAAATTGTTCCTCATCCCAGTGACAGTTAGATCTCAGAATGAGTTCTTATACAGCTCTTTTTTGTTTTGGCTGGACATACACTTCTATATCATAACAGATATGATTATCACTGAAAATTCACATAGAAGTAAATAATAACTAAAGAGTAGAAATCACCTTCACTTACTCAGTGGGAGACTTTGATAAATTGATAAGTTTGATGTGATTGTGTGTTACACCAAAGTATAGATGGACTATAGAAGATATCGACACACAAAGGCAATAAGTGAACCAAGAGACACTGATAAAAGAGACAATGATGAAGTGGAATAAGTTATTGTTAAAGAACGTTGGCTTAAGTAAATGGGATGCTAACAGGTTGCAAACAGCCATTCAGTGCTTCAAAACTGTGAAATTGTGTGGTTGTTTATGAATTTTAATTTATCCATCCCAAATAGACATTAAGAAATGTACATTTAATATGATGGGGATCTTTAAACGATTAAAACGTACATTTACAAAAAAATAGTTTTTTTTTAAACTCCGTACACACTTTGCATACTACAATGCATAGGTGTTAACTTTAACGTTAAAACGATGAAGTACTTAACTTTCGAATAATAGGTCGGAGTTTCAACATGTGCTTCACCTACCTTAGGTTGGAGAGACGGATAATATGATTAACCGTTACAAAAATAATTTGAACCTGTGCTTAACGGATAGGTCACAAAAATGAGCAACTGAGAAATAAACGAAATGGAATTAGACTAATAGTTAGTGGAATCGCTGCCAAGTATCAAGTACTGTTTCGTTACATGAAACTTGAAAACATAGGTATTATCTCGAAATTTATAGTTTATGAAGAAATGATCAGTGTATGTTAGTATAACATATGGTATAATTTTTAATTTCATAAGACTATGTCCTATAATTTTGTTTGACAACTACTGTCGATCACAGTACTGTGGTGACGACAAGTTGGTATTTTGTCAAAAGCTAACAATCAAAAATCATGTCCAGAAATAACATGATAGGATCAGTTTCTACAGCGAACTCCATTGACGACATGTTGGTTTTTTCTTCATGGGAAATCATGTACTGAAGTCGATATAATTTCCAGATGCACCAAAGTGAAAGTCATTCACTTCATCTTTTACTTACATAACCTAAATCTTACACTCAGAAAATTGTTCTTAATGTGAACTAAGCGCAGTCTGCGATAAATAAAAAAGATTCTCATTTTTACGCAATAAGATCATAGAACCTAAAAAATCTTAACGTGTTATATTTCAGTGATTCACAGTTCCTCTAGATAATCTTACCAAGATAATCTTATTGTAGTGGTGTACATATTTGTAAATCTTACATCACTCAATGGACTAGAATGCAAATGTTCTTTTACAGTAGATAAGGAGTATTTATTTGTTACTGATTATTTTTCTAAATAATCAGTAAACTTTTTGAGGTATGAAACGAAGCTTTGAATTAGAAGTAAATATGTTGTTGACAGATGGAAACTAAACAAAGATATTCACGGTTACAATAATTATAAATTATAAATCCAGGGTAAAATTGCTTGGAATATGAAAATGAAGATACAGTAAGGTGGAAGAAGTAGACCTGATTTTGATGAGTTTAGCTTAAAAACTATTCACACAGTATATTCAAATAAATAGACATTGAAGAACTTCTATGAACACTGCCAGTCCCAAACATGGGAATCCCATTTAATTGGAACCTATTTCAATTTGTCTTGCAAAACACTACTTACTTATCTTGTTGTGTTTACGCGAGACATAAAATCTCTTTCGCAAAGTCTTCTGTTTCCTTACTCGGGTGTAGTAATGATTGTTTTTATTAGCCATCATTCTATTTAGTTGCATTGGATCTAGTATTGTTTCAGAAGTATTGCCTATTGTCCATATTCAGACCTTAGCCTTTACTAATTCCTGTGCTCAACAATAATAAGATTTAACGAACGGTCCCCATCTTGCATAAAACTTACCTAATTCCTGTAATCTTTCTATCTATTTAAAGAATCTAGGATCATAGGAGGTACATTAATCATATCAGTAGCTTAATTGCGCTACAGAATGTGCCGGTTCAATATGACTCTCACATTAGATACTGTTCCTCTCATCCTTGTCTTAGGAATGAAGATAGTTATACTCGGCGTAACAGAATCCACTAAGTTTTCTCCATCCTTCTACGTTCCTAGTACTATGTTGAAAACATGCAGTAAATTGACAGAAATCGAAAAGATTCAGTTAACGTAAAACCTAAGAGCAGTAAAATTCCCAATATTTATTTTCATTATTATAATCATTATTATTCCTTGTCAAGTCTTTCTTGTATAACTTCTTTCTTATGTAGCTAACGTGTATAACGGTTTCAGTCTACACAATAACTTCAGTTCTTCAGTTGAATAAACTGTCCTGACCTCCATACTCAAATTGGCTCTGGATAATCACAAGCCAGTTAAAATATAAAAAACCGAAATTATTTCAGGAGTTTAATAAAAACTATAATTCTGGCTGTTCAATTCCGACTGAAAGTACAAATGTAAAGTTACCTGTGGAACTAAATAATAAATAATAACACTTACATAAAAAATAATTGTAGCTATTCTGTTCCCATTTTTAACTTCGAATGCGTCTTTTTCTCTTTTCTGCAAAAAAAATTTAGCAAATTAGTAAACATACTATGCACATACTTCTAACAGTTTTCGTCAAGATATAATACATCGTATTCATTTATCATCGGTAAACAAAGAGGATATTCTGCTAGTTTACTACGTTCCTTTATATATTTATTATAATAAGGTAAAAAGATTATGATGACTGTAGAATACCTTAGAATGAAATCCTAGATATCTTCAATTTCTAGTCCATTTATATTATTAGCTTAACAAAGACCAAACTTTTCTAATTTTTTTGTAATATGTTGCTTTACTTCTGAAGATTCTTTTCCTTTCTACAAAGAGATGATATTTTTAAATTATCTAACTGATCAGCTAATAGTTAATTAATTTATTTTTGTGACTTTTAAAGATGGCTTTGATACAAAAAAATTGGAATTCACTATGTATTAATACATCCGATTCTGATCGAAATCTATTGATTATGGAAATGTTAAAATTTGGGGATGGTAGTGAATTCCATTTGTTATTATATGTTGGAACATGTTAATATGGGATTTCATGACAACTACTCTATTTTTTAGTGAGAAAACAAGCTTTGTGGGGGGTAAGTGGCAATCACGCACTCCGTTACAGTAAGTAAAAGAACAACATCAAAAAATCAATCAGTGGAGAGACCAAAGTTAACTATGGAATTCCAAAGAAACGATAATAAAAGTCCCAAAGAATGAAGAATCACAAAACATGACGAAGCAGGTATCTAAAACTACTTACTTCTTAACAGTCTTTCTACCTGATATAACGCCAGTATTACGAAGTTCATAATTTAGAACTTGATTGCATTCGTCAAGAATGACCCAATACATTTGATTCAATACAAGTGATTTACAAGGAGGCAGACAAGCAGAACGTAATACAGCAAGACTCAACTATATTATAAACCTACTGTTTATGTTCCAGGTATTCAGTTTAGCCAATAACATTAAGTGTACGACTATTTGACTTACAGAAATATAATCCAACCTATAAGAGTCTATTAGATCCACGTATAGACTTGTCATCAGAATCGTTACTTGTTCAATTCGTCATTATGATCACCATAAATTATCTACACTAAAAGTCAATTTACAATTGGAATAGCTGACTAAAGCTAGTAAATTCTTAAACAGTAAGGATTGCTTAGATATTGAGACCACGATTACTACGGTAACTAGAAGTAAATTGTTGACCTTGACATACAATTTTAATGCGAAACCCATCAACATAGCAGAAATTTAACAGGAGGAGCTAAAATTCCATTGCTCTAACTGGAAACTTAAAAAGCTAATGTCTAGAGTCTGCAAAAAATTGAAAATGTTTAGGAACTTACTCGACCGAAATCAAAATGTGGAGCGTAATGTCCACCCAACCCATAATTACCGACTTGTAGATCTTCAGCAGTCTCAAGAGACAAACCTGTAACAGCTCGTATACGCTGACTTATCTGGTCAGTAATTTCAGTCATAGAATGAGGAAGCCAAGCGCTAAATGAAAATGGACCACATGTTAGTGAAGTTGGTGATAAAAAATATTGTTCAAATGATGACATGATTGTTGACTAAATGAGTATTGTAACATAATTTGTGTTACATACATAAAGATAAAGCTACTATGATGATCAACTAATAAAATAAGTCTAAAGTGATTGAATATCTCATGTTTTACATCCAGAACATACGGACAACTAGATCGGAAACCCTTTACGAGTTCTTAGAACACGCAGTTTTCCGAATAATGGAACTGGTGCACTTTCTAAGTAATTTTCTATATGATTTTCAAAGAAGTATATCGTGCGTAAGTGCAATAGATTTGAATAAGTCACTATGATGTTAACCTTGTATTATAATTTGAAACTGATCTAGATATCTTAACAGTGTGTTTTGTCGGCCACACAATTATCTATAATTCATTTTGATAAAAAAATTATGTTAACCATACGACAGAAAAAATACATGTATTCAAAAGACAAGTAAACTTGCTAATGCTTTACTAGAGTAAGAATGTAACGTATCTCAGTCAAACCGACAGCTGTTTATGAACCAGAAGAGTTCAACAAAACTACCGTCTTTTACTTACACACTTCAACAGTGGGATAAGTTCAATTCTTAATAAATTATGAAGAAATCGATGTTTGATGTAGCCGAATAGTCATAATCATAGATCAAGAGTGTTTTAAAAATATCAACCGCTTCGTAAATTAATAAGTCACAGTCTATACATCATGGTGTTTATATTTAAGCGATGTTAGGGTCCTAGATATGAAGATTATAAGTCGAAAAAATAACATATAGAAGGTTCAAAGACCGTAGCGTAAATGTGATTGTCATGTTTAATTTCAAGTTGATCACGGGCTTTGAAGAGAAATCAAGCTGCCAATATAAGTTAGTAGTGCAAGTATTTCAAATCTGTTGGTATCAAGAGCGAAATTTGAGAAAATTTATGGGCTTTGAATTCCGGCCACTAAATTTTCGTTTTAATGAAAAACGACAAATATTGATTGATGTTATCAAAAATAAAACGGTGATGCAATGTCTGTACGATTATTCAATAATTTCCATCACTAGTACAAAAACCATTTGATTATCACGATAGAGGTGGTAAAACAGAGTCTGTATTAGAAATATATTTAGTTACCACAAACTGTAATGATGAATAAATTTCTTTAATTATCATCTCGGATTTGTTTTTAATCTATGGGAAATGATTCACTCTTGAGATAAATATTCGAAGTGTATGATTTGCCTCTAAAATTGAACATTCTGAAATATGAATAGTTTTATTTAATCTACTGATTATTATAACATTTATGTACTGTAAAATAGGAAATAAAAACCCACGTCTAGTTAAAATACCGAGATATTTAACAGATTTGTGTGGTTTAAAAATAATTCACCTTTTACTGGTTCTATAAAATGCTACCTCTAAGTTGCCAGTTACTGGATTTTTAACCGTTGCCCTACGAAGCTGAAAAAAATTTAAAGTAAAAGAAAATGATATCACTTACGTAAAAAAAGAAATGTGTAAATGTGGTGTTTGAATGAACTGATGATTCCTTTGTACTTGTTGAATGCTTGATTTCGAATTCCAAATACGGCACATTCGTTCGTGTTTGTCTAGTACTTCGTTATTTAATTGCGTTATTTCTGGGATTCTTAGTTTATACTGTAATTCAAATACTCCTAATTATCACAGTAAAATGTGGTATAACCGTCGGGTAAGACATTTCAGAGAATTCCTTGGTCATAAAATATGACCAGAAATCGAATACAACTTCATGTATGTTGACGAAAAGGTTACCGAGTAATACCGATACTTCACTTACATAAAGTTATTCGTCACAAAATCAATCAGTCTAAGATCTAAAAAAAGAAAGCAGTGGACACTATACGGATGCAGCGTTTGGAGCGTGGGACCCTTATTAACACAAGAGAGACATTTGAATAATTATTTACTCTTATAACACTGTTATTTGTCCCATGACCATTTAATTGATATCGGTGATGCGAAGTAACTCTTCTTAAACTATGGATTTATAGAATTTAATTGTGAACCTTGTCATATATATATATATATATATATATATATATATATATATATATATATATATATATATATATATATATATATATATATATATATATATATTCAAGATACTTCGGTCTAAATAGATGCATATAACTATCTGTATATAACGAACTGTATTTGTTAACACTTCGTAACATATTAGCTACTAGTTTCATCTTCACAAACTGGTAGAACGATTATCCCTCTCTGAGTTAATAAAAAAGTAGAGCAGTGGGTTAATTAAAATATGTGCAAGTTATAGCTTACAGTAATGGTCATTTCGGATCATAGTTACGAAAACGTCAAAAATAATTCGTAAGCAGATAAGTATAAAAATGTGAATAAAACTTTGAGAGGTTTTCCTTAAACAAAAAAACAAGACCGGTACAGCAGTATTACATCAAGTTTAGTGTAGCCCCTAAAAGTGTAACCTCTATTGACATCAGTTTTCATAGTTGAGACGCTGAGTGAAGACAGGGGAAATATCTAAAAAATATAAACTTATATTCAGTCGACAGAAAAATATCTATAGTTTATCTGGAAAGCTATCAGTGACCTAGGTAATCCAGAAATATTAATCCAACGTTGAAACATAAGTCTGTTGTAAATATACTACGATAAAACCAAGTGATAACTCATTCTTCTGAAGTGCAAAATAATCTGTTTCAAATAATTTATAGAACACTGAGTTAAAACGTTTAAACACTGATGAACTAAAAACACTCGATCCAACATTCACAGCACAGTAATCTATCTTTGCAATTTTCATTTACGTAGTTATAAGTTCCATACATACTCTAAAAAATAGTTTTAGACTTCAAATAACGAGTGTTTCAATATACTGAACGAACCATTTCTCAGCTATTAATTTGCATCAAATGTTCTTACATTCTAGTTTCTAGTGTAAAAAAAGTTAAGAATATAATTATGAAATCGAACTAACTCTTGGTGTAGCCAGTTCTTTGATTTTTTCAATCTCCGATGGGAAAATCAAATCGTACCACATTACAATACGGGGATCAGGGTTTAAAGTTTCCTCCTTAATTGGACCAATTCTAAAAAACGCATGAGGAGTATAATATTGACATGTTAGGTGACGTGATGGGACTGTAGGGAAGGGATTTTCATTACGACATAATGATTCGTATAGCTCAGTTTCTTGATCGTGCTTTGATGTAGCTGGAATATGAAAAAGAAAGAAAAATTAACTCGAAGAAAGAAACTGTGTGACCATTATTCACTAAGACAAATCATATCTTATTGGCATAGATTGAAATCATCAGGTTAGTGATCGAAAAAAGCCATCTATAAACTTTACCCTTATGGTTTTCGATTGAACTAGTATCATAACGTTAATTTTTAATGCTCGCTGAGCCTTCTTATGATTATCGGAAACAATCCTTCTTAAAATCATCGAGTATGTCCTAGTGTCATTTAAATGACGTTAAACAATATTCAACTATAATTCAACACAATGTTACACAGTTCAAAATTGATAATTATGTCAGACGTTTATGTAGATGATGTGTCTAAAGCAGTTGAGAAAGAGATTGATACAATTATGAGGTATAGTTTTAGAATTTGTGATAACACATTTGAATAAAAAGATACTAACCACTACATAGGTTTTCTAGATTAATTATTTACGTGAACTAAACATAACTAATATTACAGCCCAAAAGTACAGAGATCTATTAGCTTATAGAACGAAAATTGTTTCCTTTTTTCGAAATGGAAGTACTGACAAATCTGCACAATATCACAATCAAATTTCCTGGAATCTGTATCGCACATTCACTGCTGATAAACGAATTAGGGTTTATAATTAAATAACTATTACTTCATTTGAGAAATATTCTTTATTGAATTATCGTTGTGTTCTACCAATTTAAATGCTGTTAAGTGTTAATATATTTGGGCAGATAGACTAATGGTGACACTGGATGTGATCGCTGATTAAGATGTACACAAGATCGTAATACTAAAGATAACTTTTTGAGAGAAACCAAAATGATGAATAAGTGGAGTAATTAGACTACGGATTTGAAATTTAACATATATTCAGAATTGAATATAATCATGTGGAAGAGTTACCTTGAGAACGAGGATTTGGACCTATTCTTCCTTCACCTCTGTCTATTTGTTCTACATAAAAGGCTTCATTATTGATAGCTCTTGTATTTGTCGGTTCTAAAAAGAAGTATACACATAACTATTCATCACAATTATTAGGAAAGAAAAATATTTCCCTAAATATCAAATCATTAATCCCCAAGGACATAAGCAATTAGAGAACTTAATAATAGCTAGCAAAATCCTAGTTATCCGGAAAGTACCTGAGTAAAAGACACCACAAATAACTTACTTGCTTACGCCTCCTACTCATCGTGGAGGAGCATAGGCCACTCACCAGCATTCTCCATCCAACTCTGTTCTGGACGATCCTTTCGAGTTGCTATTCATCATTTTCATATCTGTTTCCCATTCCAGACAGTGTGCTTTTTGGTCTTCCTCTTTTTCGTTTCCCTTCAGAATCCCAAGTTAGGGCTTGCCTCGTGATGCAGTTTGGTGATTTCCGTAGTGAGTGTCCTATCCACCTTCAACATATTCTCCTAATTTCTTCTTCAGCTGGAAGCTGATTTGTTCACTCCCACAGTATGCTATTCCTGATGGTATCCGGCCAATGGATGTTGATTATCTTGCGTAGACAGCTATTTATAAATACTTGTACCTTCTTGATGATGGTTGTAGTAGTTCTCGAAGTTTCAGTTCCGTACAGTAGAACTGTCCTGATGTTCGTATTGAAGATTTTGACTTTGATATTGGCTGACAGTTGTTTTGAGTTCCATGTGTTCTTCAATTGTATTAATGCGGCCCTTGCTTTGTCAATCCATGTCTTTACTTCTGCATCTGATCATCCTTGTTCATCGATGATGTTTCCAAGGTACGAGAAGGTTTCTACATCTTCTCCATCCAGTGTGATTAGGTTGGTGTTCTCCATGTTGAATTTGAGGATGTTGCTTCTCCCTCTGTGTATGTTGAGACGTACTACTGAAGAGTTAGCTGCTACATTGGCTGTCTTGACCTGCATTTGCTGGTGTGTATGTGATAGATGGACCAGGTCATCTGCCAAGTCCAAATCGTCTAGTTGCATCCAAGCTGTCCATTGTATTCCGTGCTTCTCATCAGATGTTGAGGTCTTGATAATCCGGTCGACCGCCAGAATAGTAAGAGAGAGAGAGTGAGTGAGTGAGCAATCTTGTCTAACTCCCATACTCACTTGGAATTCAACTGTCAGCTGTCCTCCATGCACGACTTTGGAGTATAGTCCATCGTATGAACTCCGAATGATGTTGACGATCTTCTCAAAAACACCCTAGTGTCGAACAAGGTTCCATAATGTTCTCCTATCCACGCTTTCAAATGCTTTGTCACAGTCAGTCATGTTGATTTATAGTGACAAGTTCCATTCAATTGATTGCCGAACAATGATCCGTAGTGTCGCGATTTCGTCTGTGCACGACCGATCCTTACGAATCCAATCTTTTGATCTCAAAGCTTAGCGTCTACCGAATTTATCATGTGGTTCAGCAACACTCTGTTGAAAATGTTTCCTGGAACCGATAGTAGTGTGATGCCTCTGTAGTTTTCGCATTTGCCCAGATCTCCTTTCTTTGGAATCTTGATGAGGTGTCCTTCTTTCCAGTCCATCTGCACTTGTTCCTCCTCCCAAATCTTTGTGAATAGAAGGTGAAGCATGTTTGTAGTTACTTCGATGTCTGACTTCAGTGCTTCAGCTGGTATGTTGTCGGGTCCTGTTGCTTTCCCTCTCTTGATTTGTCTGGTGGCCATCCTGATTTCTTAGATTGTTTGTGGAGTAACAACTATAGGAAGGTCTTTGTGTGCTGTTTCGATGTCCGGTGGGTTCATTGGAGCCGGCCTATTCAGGAGTTCCTCAAAGTGCTCTACCCATCTGTTTTGCTGTTGTTGAATTTCAGTGATTGGCTTGCCTTCTTTGTCTTTGACCGGTCTCTCTGATTTATTATATTTCCCTGCTAGTTTCTTCGTTGTATCGTAAAGCTGTTTCATATTTCATTCTCATGCAGTTTTTTCCGCCGTCCTTGCTAGTTCTCCCACGTATTTCTGCTTGTCGGCTCTAATGCCCCTCTTCACTTGCTTGTTTGCTTCTGTGTACTCAGCTTGTGCTTTGACCTTCTCTGCTCGTGATCGGCTCTTGTTAATTGCTATCTTCTTGTTCTTCCTTTCTTTGATCTTGCCCAGTGTTTCTAAAGAGATCCACTCCTTATGATGATGTTTCTTGCCGCCCAGAACCTCTTGACACGTTGAAGTTAATGCTTCTTTGATACCTTTCCAGTTGTCCTCCATAGTAGTTTCTTCTTCCTTCAGTAGATCCTGTAAGGCTTGGAACCTGTTGTTGAGAGCTATCTTGAATTCATTGAGTTTGTCAGTATCTCGAAGGAAGGTTGTATTGAACCTTTGTAATGCTGTTTGTTCAGTCGTTCAGTACTTATTCAGTCTCAGTTTCATCTTGCAAACCACCAGCTCATGATCGGAAGCTATGTCGTCTCCTTTCCTCGTTTTCACGTCTTCCATTGTCCTTCTGAATGTTTTAGTGATCCAAATGTGATCGATCTGGTTCGCCTTGGCATGATCTGGTAAGATCCATATAGCTTTGTATATGCGTTTGTGTGTAAAGTGGTGTCACCCATAACCATTTTGTTGAAGGCCTATTGATCTGTAGCTATTCATTCAGTCTTCAGGGTCTCCCACATTATCCGGACATTCCATGTACCTATGTTGACTTGACTGTTGTTCTGGTTGTCAGAAGGAGCATCAGTCTCGTGACTTCAGAAGAATTCCAGCTTTCACCACGAGGCGTCATAATTCTTCTGAAAGAATATCTTTTAATTATCGGGACAGAGTTTAAATGGTTTAAATGATATTCTGTGGACTTCTACTCCAGTATATCATTTGATTTGAATGTTCTTGAACAGTTTTTGGCTTCAAATTTCTTCCGATGAGCACAGGTGGAGAGCTGTTATTGTTGTCTTTTGGAGTTTATTCAGTTGTATATCAAATCTATCTCGGTACATTTTTTGTCTGACACTTGCGGATAAAGTGAAACAAGTTTTTCTTTCGACTATTTAGTTTTCTACATTCCAAGCTTTGCAGTGATCTATCTGATGTCTTGCCTAGTCAAACATCAAAGAAGTGGAATCGAGAGTTCAGTTGTGACCCTGTCGCGAACTTAATTGATTGGTTGCAGCTATTTAACTCCTTGAACATGCTATAGAGGTGTGATAATTTTTTTGAAAGATCTTTTAACACCCAGAACAGAGTTTAAATGGTTAAGTTTGTTAATTCTGATCAGTGTTTTTTTTGCAAGGTAGTTTTTTCGGGATAGGGTTGCTGACCCTATAGCCAACCCTCCTCTTTAATCCGGATTTGTGGTCGGCAGTATTCTTAGAAGATCTACAGTCGGAGTTGCTTTTAATGAGGTAAAACAAAATTTCTGGTAAGGTGTTGTATTTTATAACACCACTGAAAAAGGTATCAGTGTTATACTGTGGACGTTTTTGGTTCATTTCTAAGATATAAAAGAGTTACTTTTGGACAATAATCATAATTCCATTATGAATATAGAATTTGTTAAACCAATGCTATCAATTCAGCTGAAACGCTAAACTGAGTACCATGACTACAGGAAAATATATCTGTATATTTATTCTGTCCTGTATGTTACTTGAAGTAAATTTTAAGTGAATAAGTCAATCTAAACTTACCCTCTTCGATTAGCAAACGTGTCACGTTCAGTGCTTCAGCATATCTTCCTTGCTAAAAATGATATTAAAAGTATGTGAATCATTTAACAACCGGGTGTTACTACTAATGAATTCATAGAATTAAACAAAACAGGAATTAGCTTGAATATGTCTTTTAGTAAATATTTACTACTGAAAGTTACTTTAAGTAGAGAAATATCTGGAATTATTTAAATAAAAATACACTTGGAGATTACCACCTATTACAAATGGAAGCCTTATAACAACAATGAAGATAATTAATTTAAAAACGTTCATGTAATTGTGTTTTTATTTTAGGGCACCAAACAAATGTAATGGGAGAGGGCCGAGCTCCATATGTATCAGAAATTAGTGATCACATGTCAAGATTATTCTATTTTACCTTAGCTTGAAAGACACGTCATTCATTTTTCACGATAACACTCATTAAGATTTATGTTTACTTTGACATGATTGTGGTCAATGACATCTCCAAGTAAATAAATCAGGATTGTTATGCAACACTGAAGAACATACTGAGCTTTTAAAGATTCCGTTAAAAAAATTTTAATAGTTGAATTCATGAGTCGGTGTAGGCTAGATCGCTGCTCAGGAGTCCCACAATAGGAGGAAACGGCCGTCCAGTGCTTCCAGGTTTTCAATGGTGGTCTAGCTTACGTCAACCCTTGAATTCAACTATTAAAATTACTACAATCTCCACAGACCCCATTCCGAATAAAAGAAGTTTTACTCACATAACAGCGAAAGTTTTTTTTTGTTAAACGATTAAGCTTGGACAACATGGAAATTACAAAAATAGTTACAAGAAAATAAAACATCCATCAATACATCGGTTATTATCCGTGGCTCTAAATTAGCGATTCCACTATATTCATAAATATTTTGTACACAAAAATTCATTGTTAAAAAATATAAAACAGTTAAACTATCTCACGAAGAGATTTGACATTTCTCATCTTAAAATGACTAGTAATTATTAATGAATTATTACTAATCAAACAGGAATTGTAATATTCAAATGAACAGAAACTGAAAAATGACAAAACTGCGATTTTTATGTCATTAAAATACTAATGAATATGAACGAAAACGGTTTAGGATTATAATACAATCCCGTATCAGAATTCCTATTTATTCGTGGTTTAAACATTTGCTTGATGAAATCGATATTAACTTTCATGATATTCCTCTAGATTGTGAGACAAAGTAAGTTGATGTGTGTCCTATCATATGAATTCGAAAATCTAACACCTAAATTTCATACGTCAGTACTCCCTTAGTCTTCAGATATCAGACGTAAAATTCAAACAAATTAAGTTACACAAATTCAAATAAACAATTATTCAAACTACCTGGACTTTCCAGAATGAGAATTTGTAAGTTGACTCAATTGTTTAGCACTTCAGTAAGTGATGCTAATCATTTTCCAATAACTAGGTGAGTAAAAACAATCAGTTTGTGTTTATAAAAGCCTTAAATTCAAGTTGTATAGTGTGATCGTTAAGTAAAACAGTAGAAATACCTTAGAAGTCGAATGATTAAAAACAAGTTTTCGGTATAAAACTTAAACAGGTTAAATGAACAACTTTCACTTACTCGTCCAAGAGAATAGGCAAGATAGTCTAAAATTTGTCCAACTGTCGGTTCAGTTTCTCCATTTTCTTCAGTTTCGTCACTTGCGATGGTAGTTCCTTGTGCATCAACTTCTTTTTTCTGTTCTAACTCATCAAATAACCGATCATAGGCTACACGAAACCATTCTTCTGATTGTTCAAAATCGCCCTGTGAATAGGCATGTCTACCTACTTCCAAGCATTGAGCAGCTGAAGTATTGAGAAAAAAAGTCATCGAAGAATTCAATTTTTGCACTCAACAGAAGCCCCATATAAACTTAGAATATTTAACCGCGGTTAAATTGAATAATGTTGAGTAAATTAAATTGTAATTTATAGTCATGACTCTACTTGACACTACATCTATGCGGTTCGAAGCATTATGTGACTGTCCGTTTAGTGGTACATGCCATCATGTAATTAAATCATATATAACAATTACATGAAATAAATAATAAAACTTGGGAACAAGAGGGAACGTAACGGTAAATCATAAATGCTCCGATATTGTAAATAATTTGTTTAACTGAATCTTTCATAGTAGCGATCGAGATATCAGTAAACGGTAATAACCGACACTTGTTCGGTTTTTGGCAAATCGGTTTACTTTACAGATCTGTTCCTGACTTCTGATTAACGCTTTAAAAAATAACACTGCAGATTCAAGATGTTTTCGTAAGACCTCTGAAAATCTCTTCAGCATCTTCTTTTGCCTAACCCTACTGACATTCTGAATAATGTAGTTGTAAGTGACTAATTTCTATGATCCTAAAAGAGATGATGATGATTTTGACAGCGTTACTAAAATATCTGTTAAAGCAAGTTTTCGTCGGAATATCACTATCTTAAGCAATAAATATTTACGAAGTTTTCGAGTAAGACTTTTAGTTAACTAGGTGTATGCACGAAACCAACTAATCACAATATCAGATATCACAGGTGTACTCTAATTTAATTAAAATTTTAATTATACTAATAGTGTATGTAAGGTGACTAATAAGCATAAACACGGAGTGATTATACCCTTAAGTCAAGAATTCCTACTTTCAGTGGAAATCGAGCTTCTACCACTTTGTGTAAATCGTTACAGATAACAGTAAATGTAATTCAGTATACAAACTTCCGTTAATATTTTATTTTAACTATGATCTACGAAAAAATACATAGACAATGCTTATTTTAAAAAGCAAATATATTATATTTCTCTAAGTCATGCTTAGTAACACTAAATAGGGTTCGGATAAAGAAAAATGTTAGACAGTGTTTAAAGTTTCACTCCGTTATCATATTTAAATAACAGTCAATTGGTTACAATATAGAACTATAACTTTAAAGTACTTTGAGCACAAGTAAAGAAGTTGATGACAGAGGTTTGAGAGAATTTTATTATGAGAAAACCTTAGGAAAAATTTTAAACAATCACGCTGTCATACACAGAAGCTGCCAGTAATTCTGTGCTCTATGACTCCTAATGGCTTCAACATTAATATTGATTTAAGACGGAAATCATCTACAGATTCGCTCGAAATTTGTTATTGTTTTTAAAAAATAATCCATCAAATAACAAGGCTGGAAACAATAGAAAACAATTATTTTTTTTTAAAAAAAAAAATAAGCACAATCTGCAAAATTAGACAAAATGATTTAAGAATTTACTGATTATTTTCAGCGATTTGTCCTACAATTACACGCAGAAATAATCATGATTAGTATAAATTAGATTCAAGTATGTAGATTGGAACAATTAATATAGCAAAACCATGTACTCTCTTAGGTAGTCTCTATAGTTAATCATTTTTCGTATGAGATAAAATTGTCCTATTGGATTAAGTGAATAATATTCCAGCCTTTTAATTAGATTGTAAGAATATTACATTATTTACTAACAAATTAAGAAATTCATGATTCTTCAGTTCAGTACGGTTTAGGATTAAAATTATTTATAAATCAACCGAACCTCCATCAACCATCTGGTCTATAAAATTAAAAATAGCAGTATCAAAAGCGGATCTCTCTGTAATATGGGTAGTAAGTTTGAATGAATCAAGTCAGTACAGTAAGACGATCCAATGAAAATCAAAGCAAATGCCTACTGCTTACAACAGCTCAATGAAGTTGTAACTTTTCAGAAATACAGTTTTAAAAGTAATTCTACATATTAGACTCCTATTATTGTGACCTAATATGTAGGTAAATCAATGGTAATAAAATTATACTGGAATCATTAAGCTATCTCTCGACAGTATAATTAATAAACTTTTAGAGTTCACTTTAGAAATATCTCATTATATATGCAAGAACGTGAGATAAGTGAGTCAATATGAACAGGAATCTTCCGCTATTATTAATAAAGCAGTAATCGTTAATCATCCTAGTTTTTCCCCCTTTAAATTACTTACCTTTTAAAGTCAGTAGTAAGTAATCATGGAAAGGAGAGGTACCTATACTTTCCATTGACATAACTAATTCAAGAAATATTCTTAATCAACTTGGTAGTATGCAATCTCTAGAAAGCTATTCATGGACTAACACTGAAATGCTCCTACCATCTGTTAAAAGAGTTTTCATTTGTGAAGTATTTTTTGCAGCAGATCGCTCAATATAACAATCAAAATCAACTGGTGAGGATCAATTCAGTTAATAAGATGCTTAAGTGGTACATTTAACCACACTCTTTATAATCTATGAATATTTCAGTTGATCTCAAAACAGGATCTTAGGTTGTCCATAGAGGTCAGAAAAGTTCAGACATAAACACTAAGGAAAAACATTCTATTCTAAGAAATTCATCAAGATGTTGCAACTTTTAAAAAGTTACCAAACTTACCACTCAGTTGAGGAGTTGACAGATTATCAATTAACTGACCGTAAGCAAGCTGTCTAGCTGGTAGTTTATATGTAGACTGTAAGCGTAGAATTGCATCTACTGCACCACTGACATCATTATCACCAGGTAGCATATCTGTATGTTGTTTAACACGTGATCGAATTGTATTCATTGTGATTGTGTTTTGAGCATCAGAAATATTTAAATAGTCTGACCCATCAGTATCACCCTTCTGAAAACCGTTTGGTACATTGTCAACAAGTTGACTGATTTGTGATTTCCAACTTGATGAAAGACGCTTCATTGTAAGATAAGCATTAATCGGATTGCCTAAATATTCTTCTAGGTCATTATTCTGTTGACTTAGTGTTGACGAGGCGTCACTAATTGATCCATTAGCATCCAACACTTTGACAACTTTCCGAATACGATTAAGACGTCTCTCTTCAAGGGCAATGTAAGAATTTAGATCGGACACTAGTTCTTGACTTAACCTCCATGCTTTCGTTATATCAATAACAGCAGTGTAGTATTCGGCATTTATGTTCTGTTGAAAAAGCAGTAACCAGGTGATAGTGAATGAAAGCAACGCCATTCTCGTTGTTTACAGTAGTAGAAAATGACCCGTTAACAAAAATATTGTGTTAATCAATCAGGGAAACTGAATATGAATTTTTATGATCGACAGACAAACAGGCAGTTCATTCATAATAAGCAGGAAAGTAAGTAAATAAACAAAACATCGAATTCCACCAATAATGTTACTTAGTTCATTTAGTGTGCCTTTCAATGTGCCCTTTACATGAATTTATACGAAATGGAAAGACAATTGATTATTTCCAAGCCTTTTTTGTAGTCGTTAAATGAAAGAACTGTCATTGGATAATGACGGAACGCACACTGGTGAAAAGGGAGAATTGAATAATCCCAACAAAATTGATTAGAAACTATCGTAAACTGACGACCAATATAAGAAGGAAAATTGTTATCTAACTACTGTTTGGAGTGTTGATACGGTACCCCTTTTGTTGATAAGTTCTTCTGTTCCATGCCTGAAACATACGATTAAACCATTTCAAAGAAATCTAATGATCAGCATTTACATGAACTCAGTTTGCTAAGAAGAAGAAATAAAAAAACTGCTTTTGAAAATAAAATAATTTCAGTCGCTGAGATTATTTCAAATATACTTTTCACATAAAATGTCCTCTCTATGCTCGGCGCCCAATTTCTGTCAAACTATTCGTTCTAATCTTGACGAATATTCGCACAAATGCTTTTGTTTAGCTCTACAACGAAAAGCTAATTTGACTGAACGTAACTTTTCCTCCTTCTTCCAAACTGGTAGCTGATAAAAGCCTGAGCCAATTACATAACAAACCATTCATTCATTTCTGACATAGCTGTCTATCTTTTAAACTTTCCAGATCATTAAGATACAATAATTTACAATTACACAACTAAGAAAGTCAAATTAGATAAATAATTGAATGGTTAATTCACAAATAACTAACAGATCAAAAACTAACTTACCAACAGCTTACACAATAATACTGCAAGAGAATTACTTTTTTTGTCATGTGCGCTTTGTTTAAACAAAGTTATCATTCTAGATACGGCCTTATAACCTTCATATTTGACCGTTGCGTTTAGTATCTGCTCAACAAACATTCTGTCATTATGAACATGAAAACTAATCATCTCGTAAAAATAAGCAATAAACTAACAACAGTATCCGTAACCCAGGACCGGTTATCAAAAGACTAGGAAAACGCTATAGTAAGTTCCGTCTTCAAAACAGTTACGAAACATAAACCTGAGAACTATTGACCCGTAAGCCTAACTAGCATGGTTGTTAAAATTTTAGAAAAGATTATTCGTAAGTTGTTTAAGCATCTCGACGAAAACCGGATTCATTCTGAAAAACATATGTAAGCGAACAACATTGTTCTCGATTAGATCTTCATCAAGGTTTACTCTAATATACAGTAATATTTATATAAATATACGAAATCATTATCGTATTCCTATTAGTTTTCCTTATGGGGTTCGATCTGGTCTCTTAGAGATAACAGAAGCCATAAGAATTCGAGTTAACAAACCAAGTCTTTGTATTCGTAAGAAATTTGTAACACTTATCTCTCCCTTGGTCTTAATAAGTGGTTTCATTTATTATTATTCTCCGTACTTTTTTTTCGTTTATCTTTTTTCACCTACTCCACCTAATTTTTATTTACACTTCATTGTCCAGTTGTCTGAACATACTTTATTACATAATCTTATGGTTTTTATGAATACCATTTCAGCATCCATATTTTTCAAGGCATTATGAAACATCGATTCAAGCCTTTGTTATTCTTATCACAACTAGTATACCTGTCATCATATTATCACTTTGTACGTTTTACTTATTAAGTTTATTTATGTAATTTATTCCACTGTTATCACTGACTGAGACAAGCCCTAACTTTGAATTTTGAAGGGAAAAGGAAAAGAGGAAGGCCGATGAATACACCACATCGGGAATTAGAAGAACACATAAAAAGGAATAATAGCAACAGGAAAGGATTGCCCAGGACAGAGTTGAATGGAGAGTGCTGGTGGGTGGCCCATGCTCCTCCACGAGGGCTAACAGGAGTAATTAAGTCATCACTGACTAATAAACTACTGTATATTAGAGTAAAGCCTGATGATATGATCGAAAAAAATATTGATCGCTTATATATGTTGTTCTAAATCACAATATTGGAATTTTTCAAATCTTTCTGCAAAGCAGCATGGCTTTAGAACAGGTTATTCCTATCTCACTAACTTATTAGTAGCCGGTGAAAGTTGGTGCGCTCTTAAGGATCAAAAGTTACCTATAAAAGTAGTCTATATTGAATTCAGCAAAGTTTTTGATACAGTTCCTCACATAGGGCTGCTATATAAGTTAAGCAATTTATTAATGTGGATAAGACTTCCTATTTGGGCGCCAACAAAGAGTACGGGTGAACTCAAAGTTGTCTAGCTGGGAAACTGCTTAGAAGAGTGCTTCAGTGTACAGTTTGAGTGCCAATGTTGTTCCTCTTGTGTGTAAATGACCTTCCTAGTCTCCTATCATCATCGGTTTTTTATATGCTGACGATGTCAAGATATGGAGAGCGATACGAAGTAAGGGTGATAGCTTAGAACTCCAAAATGACCTGGAGAAATTATCTGAATGATTGAAAACTTGGCAGTTGCCAATAAATGCTCCCAAGTGCATTATAATGCATATTAGTCATCAAGGTACAGATACATACACGGTGAATTACATTGAACTACCTGTTGTCCAGACACAATGTCATCGTTAACCAAGACTTAAAAACTACTGCATACTACCGTGCGGTAACCGCCAAAGGTTTTAGAACCCTATAGTCAATACGTATAGCCTTTAACCATTTTGATGCTAAAATCTTTTCGACTTTATATACAGTATTCGTTCGTCCTAATCTCCAGTATTGCATAAAGTCGTCTAGCCCCTTCTTAAAAAATATAGTGAGCTTTTGGAAAACGTTCAGAGAGCAGCAACTAAGCTGATTCCCGGAATAACGAAGCTCCTGTATGATGCTCGACTGGCTAAGCTAAACCTATTCCCATTGTCATATCTAAGAACTAGAGGTGACTTGATCACATATTTAAATTAATTATTGATGAATTTACATCTGACGTGCCCTCAATTTTCTTGTCCGCCAAAACAGAGAATTTACGAGGACACTCAAAAAAAGTTCACAAGTCCAGAGAAAATTACTTGTCAGATGACTATCGACTTTCGCATCGAGTTATCAACGAACGGAATCCATCAACTGAACATATGATTGAAGCTCTATCTACCAAAGCTTTGAAAAGAAAGTTGTATCAACTGAGAGACCGCCATTACCAAGGCTAACAGGACCACCCAGCCTCCTATCGTTTCCAAAGTGAAACTGTCTGTGAAAATACTGCGTCACGCTTCATAACATCTATAGTGTCTAGAAAAAATAAACGCAACAAATATACTGATTAGAGATTTAATGCATTGCTGATTATTTTGTTTGTAGGTCAGAAATACAATCTTTGTAGATAAAGCTCTTGACAAATTTAAGTAAATAACTTTGAATAATTTATGTATTTAGAGCTTATATTTTCAAGTTAACTAACTGTATATTATATAGATGAAAGTATATGTTTTTGAGATGGTGGAGAAGATTTGTAGCTCAGGTGGATGATTTTGGTGTAGTTTTGTTCTCTGAGCTGGATGGTTTGGTCGTGGAGTTTTCATCGTTCTTCTGAACGACATCATCAGCACAAACTTCAGATAGAAGTGAAGTGTTCGAATTTCTCCATATGTGTCTCAAAGCTTGTTCTGTGCACCTCGACGTTGATTGGTTCTTGTTGACCTTAAATTTATCGTTGTTTACTTCTTTGTTTTGGTTGTGTCTCCCATTGTTTTGGACGTAGTGGGATCCCACTACGTCCAATTGTAGCACTCTCCGGAACACCAACGTACAATTTGTCAAAAGAAATTTCAAGAATACTGAGAAATTTATTAGATTCAGCCAACCACTCAATCAAATCCCCTGCACAATTCCTGGACCAAATTAAGGACATCTAAATCAACAACGACGAACTGATGATATCCTTCGACGTGACAGCACTATTCACCTCAATTGAACCAAGATTAGCAAAAGAAACTATATCCCTGCTGCTCAACAACGAAACAAACCTCACTTAATACACGAAGTTTCAAATTCAAATTCTACAGGAACTCATCAATTTATGCCTAACAACATACTTTCAATTCAACAACAAAATCTACGAACAAACGAAAGGGACACCAATGGGATCACCAATATCAGGATTGATCGCAGAGGCAGTGATGCAAAGACTAGAAGCCGCTATATTACCAGTGATCAAACCAAAAATTTGGATTCGCTATGTAGACGACACCTTCGTCATCGTCAAAAAGAATGAACTAGAAAACACTTACAACCTGATCAACAACGTCTTCGATGACATCAAGTTCACCATGGAACAGGAGTCAAACAACCAACTAGCATTCTTGGATATATTGATCACTAGAACCGACACAGGAAAACTGGAAACTCAAGTATATAGGAAACCGACCCATACGGATCAAATTCTCAACTACAATAGCAACAACCCCAGAGCGCACAAAATCAACTGCGTACACAATTTGTTCAAGAGGGCGAGGACACACTGCAGCACACTGGCAGCACGAAGAAATGAAGAGAAATACCTAAAGGATGTATTTCAGAAGAACGGCTACCCCATCAACTTCATCAAAAAATACCAACCGCACGCAGTATTAGAACTCAAGTCAAGCACAAAAATCAACAAAAGGATCACCCTACCATATATACAAGGAATATCAGGAACCGTGACGAGACTGCTGAAAACCTTCGGAATAGGTGTGGCACACAAGCCGCCAAAATCACTACAATCAATCTTATGCAAACCAAAAGATGAAATAACAAAGGAAAACAAATCAAACATCATCTACAAAATAAATTGTACCAACTGCGACAAACACTACATCGGACAAAGCGAACGTTCCCTCCACCTTCGCCTACACAAACGTCAATTAGCAGTCAGACGCCATGATCTCTCATCACTTATATCAATCCACGTGGACAACTGCGGACATTCATTCGATTGGAAAAATGTGGAAATCTTAGACAGAGGAAACTCCAAAAACACCAGAGAATTTTTAGAAGCCTGGCACTCAGGTCAATCAGCAATCAACAAGCATATTGAAATCAGTCAAATTTATCAACCAATCAGAAAAATCATGCACAAACATAAGAACAAAAATCAAAACAATGGGAGACACAACCAAAACAAAGAAGTAAACAACGACAAATTTAAGGTCAATAAGAACCAATCAACGTCGAGGTGCACAGAACAAGCTTTGAGACACATATGGAGAAATTCGAACACTTCACTTCTATCTGAAGTTTGTGCTGATGATGTCGTTCAGAAGAACGATGAAAACTCCACGACCAAACCATCCAGCTCAGAGAACAAAACTCCACCAAAATGAAAGTATATGTGCATATTTGTGAATACATTTAAAAAATCTAACCTTTAGAAATGATTTTGGTTACATTCATGTACAGATTGCTGATTAA